GCCAAACTGGTTCAACACCTTTATATACTTTAGCAGCTCTTGAAGGCAGAGGCTGAGTTTTCAGACTGATGCCCCTCAGGTATTCAACAGCATCACATCCTCACCTCCACATCAGTCTGGCGGTAGGAGATTGTGACAATCCAACATCTTACTGTTTAAAGTCAATATCTGAGCCATCTGTCGGGCCTCATGGAACATGGATTAAAACCTTTGATTTACAAGACAGAATTATTATATGTACACTCCTCCAGCACTCACTCAACTCACAATTAGTAATCATAAAATACATACACATCCATGCCCAAGTGAATAGGTAAAATGACTGTGATTTCCATTGGTTTCCGGTACTTCTCCCATCTTCTTTGGGTATCAACCAATGCTTCTAGAGACAATGACTGTAGTGATACTTCCACAAACTGATCCAGTGGCTTTAGTTTCTTGAGTTGAGTGTCTTGACAGTACATTCCTCATAGCTAGATGCCCCCCAAAAAAGAACAGCCCACCCCCTCCAAAAAAAAAAAAAAACCCCAAAAAACACCACGTCATGTCAACTTACTTCACAGAGTCTCTTAGGACGTTCTGGGACATGAGGTACATTCTGCTCCACTAACAGTCTGATGCTCTTCACTTGTCAGTCCACAGGATGGTTACAGGAGACTCCGAGGTGAGTCCCCATCTACCAGCAAGACTGAAAGAGGAGGTGATGGCCCTCTGTGTCAAAGATGACAAACCAGCAGTTGTCGGATAAATCACCTGTTATGATATCACACCTGCTGGGTGTTTCATCAACTGACTGGGCCAGGAAAGTGGAGGAGTGATTGACAGAACCTGGTAATCACGTACATCCTGACATTTAGAAATTCACTGCATCAACCAAAAAATGGGGTATGACAATGTTAGGGAATGTCTGGGAAAAGTTAATGCATCCAAATGAAACTTCAGTAAACCCCACCCCTGAACAGCGACTGTCCAATCATAGTTTAGCAACCGCAACTAGGCATGGCAAAGAACATCGACCATGTATTTGTTAGCCTTTCCAAACCCATAAACACAAGACGCGTGTGTTTGTCTGCTGTAGCATAAGCTGTAAATGTTAAATATCATGTTTAGTGTAACATTATCAGATCCAGTAACCTCAGCACAATCTTTACCTGAGATAGCATTACATTTGCCTGTCAGTTAGTCCTCATCCTCAAAGCCTTTTGTCTCGGAACTCTCATAACCGCTTTGTTGTTTGTCCAAGTATGTTTTTCCACAAGCTAACAATCCAAGGATGGTTATGAAAGAGGGAAATAATGATTTTCCATTTTCCATTGTTGTACTGTAAAGTATGTAACCTTGGGATTAGCTAGCGCTGCCCTTTGTGCAAGAGTAGTACTGCTCCATTACCTCTATGTCTTCTACATGGATTATCAGATGGCGAGGATGCTACCTTGTAGCTTTAGCCTCTGTCTTTTAGCATAATATCATGTACGTAGAATTTTTAACATCCTTTAACAGCATTTTTTTTCAAAATGTGTTTACAGCCAATTCGTGAAGATTACAAGTATCAGCTAGCTAGCTAGATATGATTAAAATTTGTTGTCATTTCAGCTGCGAAAATCAACAGTTGCTGTCCAGAAACGAGAAGCCGCTTTTGTCAACTTCTGTGTGAAATCGAGGGTCCATTTTTTCAAAAATTACCAGGAATCTCGAGTGGTACAACAAAAAGCCAGAAAGGTGTAGCAAGAGTAACTAAGGGGGGTGGGGCTTAGCGAATGTCAATTGCTCCAACAACACATGGAAAATATTACAGTATGAGAGGGAACAAAAGGAAGTGTAGTTTAAGTGTATTAATGTGAATAGGAACATTTTGATACTTTGAAAGTGACTGACATCAGAGTTATGAATTTAATGTGGCTCACAGTTGATTTTCATTAAAGTTTCATGGTTATTTGTGGGATAGTTAGTTATTGAGTATGGTTAGATACAGTAATGCTATAGGGTGTATTTGAGGGAAAGTTACACATATAATGCAAAGTGACAGATGTTTTTCCATAGATCAGTCTCACCAAGTGAACTATGTATGGGTGCCATCAGCCCTTAGACATTGATATGAATCTTATATGGAACTTTTCATTATAGTATCATCATATAAGTCAGTAAGAAGGTTATTTTTTGATGATTACATAGTTGTTTGTTAATCATGATTATGAATTAGCATTAAAGACGAACCCTATAGATGGACTACCTTATTTGGTGTTGGATATATCAAAACCAATGAAAATCAGTGGAAAACTGTTTCTTATATCTTAGTCAGGTGTTGCAGGAGAGTGCAGTCTTATGAAAGGTGGCATAAAGACTGAGTTTGCTATGACTTGTTAACATAACTGAAGTGCAGCACTGTCAGCAGTGTGTTAGACAGCAGAGAGGGGGCACTCCATTGTAGAATCTAGATCACATCAGGGAAAGATCCAATTATAAAGGCGCTGTGGGGCCATGGGAGCCAGCCTCAGTGGATTACTCTGACAGTGGAAGCTGTCTTGGAGTTGGTGATGACTGGGGTGTTTGCTGTGTAGTATTGTTGCTGTGCAGCTGTTAACACCACAACTTTATTTAAAGATAGAATACTCTGCTCTCTTACACCAGGCTACTGAGATCCTGCCCAAAAATGGGTAGATTCTCTTCATGTTATTCAAAGGACTACGAATCTTAAAGGACTTTTTGAGAAATGTGCTTATTCACTTTCTTGATGAGAAGATAAATATCATTCTCATGTCTGTATACTAAAGAAGCCATAGCCGGCAGATGATTGGTTTAGCTTGGCATTAAATCATTAAGAAAGCCATTAAGTATATTTCCCAAAATGTCACACTATTCCATTTGATCGCACAAGCCAGACTTGTCCTTAACGGTGATATTAACACATAAATTTAATAATTAGTGAATATGTGTGTAAGGGGAGGCACGTGTTCTGCAGCGTTCAGCTAACCTGGTGCGACATTAAACGGTTATGCATTTATCAAGCCTGTAGGAAAATACTTCTGTTCAGTGGGTTTTGTGTGAAGGTAAATACACTTGAAACACTTGCAATAACTATGTGGCTCAACAGCAACTATAACAAAAATATATTTGTAAATACCTCTCCCCAAGAAACCCATTATCCCAGGAGTATATCCCCATCTGGAATGCTGGACTACATAAAGCATTTATTCAGGTAAGTGACTGCTAATCTTTTATAATCCGGTGTTAAGTGCTTTTATCTGTAGACAAATTGTTGCTGGATAATGGCTGGGTCATTGACTTTATGTGAGGGGGCAGAACATCATGTGCCTTCAGTCCCAGAAACCAGGAGCAACAATTTTTCCGGCCTCGTCTATGAACTTTATTCATCTGCCACCTAAGCATTGCTGAGAGAACAATGAGGCAAGCTGCGCCATTAGAGCTTAATATAATGCTCAGTCGCTTGACATTCTTGTCAGCTGTCTTAAGACCAAAGATGGTATATGTCACCTCACCCTGCAGTTACACCTTGGCAACATAAAATAGAAGGAAAGAGAAATAATAAAGCTGAATGATCACACAGTCAACCTCTTTCACATTGCTGGTATGTCTAAAAGGCCGCCCTTCCTCTTATATGCAGAAAAATGTGTGCAGATGGGTCATTTTAAGAGATGATACACAAATTTGTTTTGTGTGCTACCCTTCCGATGAAGGGTAAACTTAATGCTACTGTACATCTACACTCATATTTCAGACAAGAGTTGACCTTTCAACTTTGTGGGAACAGTTTGGGCTTATTCCTTTTTCAACCAGAGCATGACCAGTTCATCAGTAAGGCTAATATTAACAATTGTCCAGTAAGTAACAAGAAAACAGAACAGAACACCAAAAAAGTGTTTGAGGTCGTCTGTTATATAGTATATATATATATGTTTATTTTTCAACTGTTAATTTTTTAATTCATATCGTTGTAATTCTTTAATAAATTTAAACGCTCCTTATCAAGCATTTCTTTAACCCTCAGATATTGATTTTGGTGCTGCCCTCAAAAATCTAGTATTTGTCAGCTAGTTTCACCTAACATCAGCTTCTTGCTAATGCGGTTGTGGCTGATTGGGAGCAAATCCCAGCTGAGGTTCCAAACTTTTGAAGAAACCCTTCAAAGAAGAGTGAGGGGTGTTATAGCAGCACATTAATGCTCTTGGAGTGACATGTTCAGCTGTCCCATATGGGTGTAGTTAGTTCTGGTCAAGAAGTGTATACTCTTGCTTCAAATTTTTCTTTCTGCTTCTACTTGAAAAGAACCAATTTTCCTTCTTCTCCAAAATACATAATTTCTGTCTCAAGACACTTCCGAGAGTTTGGAGCGACCAAGCATTCAAATTAAACTTTAACAAGTGTTCAGACTGAATTCAAATGAACCTTTGTCTAACCTAGCACTGAGGAGCTCTTGTTCCAATACAGACTAAAGCATATTTCATGTGAACACTCAGAGTCCAGGTGATTGATAATAAAATTTACCTGCAACTCCAGTTCTTCCTGTTATTTGCCTCTAAACTTTCTTATTCATCCTTGTTCAAGAAGTAGAGTCACAAAGCTCAAGATACTGTAGGTGCAACATTTTTTGCTCAAGTTGAAACATTTTTGAATCTTAATTTGCCCCCAACTGTTCTTTTCATAGACTTAGTAGGCAGTGGTGCAGCCTCTAAGATTCATTAGAAACTACATCCTCTCCATCAATGGAGAGGATGCAGTTTAACAATTTACCTACAGCATTAAGGAGCAGGGCTTGTGCTCAGTGGGCCAGCGTACATTTGGAAACAATTCGGCTTAGGACAGAGAGCACCACTCTTCCAACAGAGACTCAATAATCACGTAACAACTGCAGGAGCCACAACTACCTACTATCAAAGAAAGACGTGTTGTTGAAGGCAGAGGTGGGTGGAGGGATGGGTGGGCTGAGGGGCAGGGAACAGGGCTGAATAAATGAAGGAGATGGTTTGGTTTGGTTCACCTCTTCAGATGGTGGCATCATAGGGCAGTTGAGGCACTGCCACTCCAGGCTTCCGATTGGAGTAGCGCTGCGTGTAGGGCAGCAAGTGGCCAGATGGTGACAGGCCTAACAGCTCCCTAGATCTGCCTGGCCACCTACGGCTCCATAAGCGACTACCATAACCATGCCTGCGGCTTCGCCTCACTGCCTGCCCCAACAGCATGGCTGTCTGGGGCCAGAGTGGGTCCGTGAAGCTAGAGATGCTGGACTCCTGAAAAGGGATACAGGACCTGCGCCTCAGTGGGCGTTCTTCTTGGTAGATGCGGGAGGCTGTGAAGAGGTCAGGACTAAAGTCGGAGCAGGGCTGCCGTGAGCCCTGGGTCAGGGAGATGCGGCCCTCCAGCGATGGCCCCAGCAGGCTGAGGCTAGTTCTGTCCGTGAACGAGTCCGTTCGGTCTTCATAGCCGAGGTCAGCGGGGGCCGAGCACTGCTGCAGGGGCCAGCCTCCGCGACCCTTCCCCCCGATGTCCGCAGTGCTGCCTCCCTCTCCACCATCACGCTCTGCCCTGACTGCCTCGTCTTCCTCCTCCTCCTCCTCCTGTTCCTCCTCCTCCACTTCCGCTGCCTCCTCCTCCTCCACCTGTCCCTCCACCACACCCTCCTCCTCGTCCTCAGTGCTGGTGGGTGCTGGGGAGCGTGGGTCCCGCAAGAAGACCACTATCACAGTGATATTATCACTAGAGCCTGCATCACGGGCAGAGGCCACCAGCTTGTGGGCCACCATGGTGGTGTCTCCAGTGTTCTCCTGGAGGTGGTCGCTGACTACCCGCACCGCCTCATCTGGACTCACTGTGTCCCAGAAGCCATCACAGGCCAGAATCAGGTAGTCTTCTGAACCGTCCAGTGGGAAGATACTATGGTCTGCATCACCACAGATGTAGGGTTTGTGCTCTGAGTCCCCTGTCAATATGAACAACATGTTAGTTTGTTAGGGCCTGCTTCTACCAGCATTCATGACAGCAAAAGTTTGCACTTTGCAGTTGATCTCGGTGAAATGAGTGAACTGTGAACAGAAAAACTGTGCTTAATTTTCTTAGGTGAACAATGGTAAACTCAGTGTGGTATACAGAGTGCCTGACTGAAGGAGTAGCTTACCTATTGCTCTGGATACAGACAAACTGCCATTGACCCTCCATGTGCCAAACCAGATTACACAGCCTCCCAGAGCCTCGATCCTCTGCTTCTCATCCTGCAGAGACACACGAAGCACAACTAGCTTTAGTGGTTGGTCATAATGGTGATGACTGTCACATGGTGTACAACAACCTGAAGTAGCCGACAATATGTTTCCTGCTTCTGCTGTACACTTAAAGTGCCAGTCCACTCAATTACACTCTTACAACAATACATTAATACAGGTGGTGCTTTTGGGTTGACGACACTACAGACTTTTAACTGAAAATGTAAAGCAAACTCTCAAAAGAGTACCTTGCTATACTTTGACGTTTTTATGACTGACTATAATAAGACGTTTTTATGACTTACTATAAAAACACGTTTTTTTAATGTTTTTATGCCTTGCTATACTATGACGTTTTTATGCCTTACTATACAATGACGATTTTTAACGTTTTTATGCCTTGCTATATTATGACGTTTTTACGCCTTACTATACTATGACGTTTTTTTAACGTTTTTATGCCTTACTATACTATCACGTTTTTTAACGTTTTTATACCTTGCTATACTATGACGTTTTTATGACTTACTATAATAAAACGTTTTTTAATGTTTTTATACCTTGCTATACTATGACGTTTATACCTTACTATACTATGACGTTTTTAACTTTTTTATGCCTTACTATACTATGACGTTTTTTGACGTTTTTATGCCTTTCTATACTATGACATTTTTTAACATTTTAAGCCATACTATACTATGACATTTTTTAACGTTTTTATGCCTTACTATACTGTGCTGTTTTTTAATGTTTTTATGCCTTACTATACTATGATGTTTTTTAACGTTTTTATGCCTTGCTATACAATGTCATTTTTTGTGCCTTACTATACTATGATGTTTTTATGACTTACTATAATAATATGTTTTTTAACGTTTTTATGCCTTGCTATACTATGGTGTTTTTTGACGTTTTTATGCCTTACTATACTATGATGTTTTTTGCAGTTTTTATGCCTTACTATACTATGACATTTTTATGCCTTACTATACTATGACGTTTCTTAATGTTTTTATACCTTGCTATACTATGATGTTTTTATGCCTTACTATACTATGATGTTTTTTGACGTTTTTATGCCTTACTATATTATGACGTTTTTTGACATTTTTATGCCTTACTATACTATGCCGTTTTTTAATGTTTTTATGCCTTACTATATAATGACGTTTTTATGCCTTACTATACTATGACGTTTTTTGACATTTTTATGCCTTACTATACTAAGACGTTTTTAATGTTTTTATGCCTTAGTATACTATGACTTTTTTATACCTTACTATACAATGACGTTTGTTGACGTTTTTATGCCTTACTATACTATGACGTTTTTAACGTTTTTATACCTTACTATACTATGATGTTTTTTGCAGTTTTTATGCCTTACTATACTATGACGTTTTTATGCCTTACTATACTATGACGTTTCTTAATGTTTTTATACCTTGCTATACTATGATGTTTTTTGACGTTTTTATGCCTTACTATATTATGACGTTTTTTGACATTTTTATGCCTTACTATACTATGCCGTTTTTTAATGTTTTTATGCCTTACTATATTGTGACGTTTTTATGCCTTACTATACTATAACGTTTTTTGACATTTTTATGCCTTACTATACTATGACGTTTTTTAACGTTTTTATGCCTTACTATATTTTGACGTTTTTATGCCTTACTATACTATGACGTTTTTTGAC